ATGAAACACTTCCTGAATCTACAATAAAGATCACTGGCACTGTGAATAGCGAACAACCAAGGAAGATCGGTAGGTTTTTATTCATTCGTTTTATATTTCTTTGTATCGGGATGATGATACTCTTTTGGATTTATGTTATGGCATAGTTAAAGAAATTTATTAATTATAAATATGTGAAAAGTTTATTTTAGGCTTGGAAAGCGGAAGGTATTCAAATATCAACTAATTCAAATGAAGCGGCACGTTTATTTGATGCTCTTTTACGTCAATACGTTTCGTGGAGTGAATGCGCTCAATTAGGTGGAATGGATAAAACGCTTAGCAAAATGATTGAAGCAGAACCAAATGCTAGTATGATTTTTTAATACACGTATAATTTAACACCTGATATATTTAAATGATGATAGAATGATATGATACGAAAGTTTTGATGAATTTGATTTGATAATTTTATCATTTGATCATATCTTCTTAATTATCTTATCAATAATATCTCGTTTATATTCTTCAACTATTTGTACCTTTTAATTTTTATTAAGCAAGTATTTGATCATTCAGTAATGAGTCGAGTGATATCATTGGGATTAGAAGCAATGGGAACGGGACGATCGATACGATTAGATGAAAATTATCAGAATGAATTGAAACAATTATTGGACGATGCATGTAAACATGGTACCACATATGAGAAGAATCATGCAAAAGCTATTAATATGTTTGCTAATGAGTTAATCATTGCTATATTTATTCGTATTATCAATTAATTAATTAATTAATTAACCAGGAAATTAAATTATTACCATATAAGAGAAGTTTCATTCTTCTATATTTGAAATTATTATTATCACTTTAAAATTATCATTTCAATAAATTCAATGATAAAATAAATTGAATTCCATTTTTATCATTTAAAATCTTTTTCATTCAATTAAATCATTCATTTATTTATTAATCATATCATTCATTTACTTATCAATCATATCATTCATTTACTTATCAATCAAATCATTCATTTATTTATCATTCAAATCATTCATTTATTCATCATTCAAATCATTCATTTATTTATCAATCAATTCATTCCTTTTAATCACTTATCAAATTATTCATTTATTTATGAAATCATTGATTTATTTTCTTTAAAATTATCATTAACAAAAATTTTCTTCAAATTGTTTTTTTTTAATTTTGGGCCAGATAATTAAAACAAAGAAGCTTTTGTTTTAAATTGAAAAAATTTTGAAATTTAAATTTTCTTTTTAATGCAGCAAAATATTAGCAGCATGTGAGGAATGGGAAAAAATTTTGAATGAAACACCAAATGATTTGTTAGCGTTAAAATTTGCGCATGATGCATATTTTTATTTGGGTGATAAGCAATCACTTCGTGATAGTATTGCCCGAGTATTCCCGAAATGGAAATCAACAACACCATGCTACAGGTTTTCCATCCTGTTTTCTTGTTCTTTTAATTTGTTACAGATATTGATGGTTGATCTTTTGAGTTTAAGTTGAGAATTTAAGTTAGAAAAATATAGCCTAAATTTGGTTGAGGAATTATCGTTCATTTTTAAGAAGTGATCGTAATTTTTTGATAAGTTATCAATGATACAGAAAATTAGTTAGTTTACTGATTAATTAAAAAATTTGTTTTGATAAGGAAAATTAGCTAATTTACAGATTAACTAAAATTTATTTTGATATAGAAAATTAATTTGTTTACAAATTAATCAAAATTGATTTTGATATAAAAAATTAGTTAGTTTACAGATTAGTTAAAATTTATTTTTCTATAACAAAATAAATTTTAATTAATTTAATTAATTTGTTAGTTTACAAATAAATTAAAATTTATTTTGATATAGAAAATTGGTTTACAGTTGGTTTACAGATTAATTAAAATTTATTTTAATATGGAAAATTAGTTAGTTTACAGGTTAATTAAAATTTTTTTTCCATTTCAAAATAAATTTTTGATTTATTCAATTAATTAGTTAGTTTACAAATTAATTAAAATTTATTTTGATATAGAAAATTAGTTAATTTACTAATTAAGCAATTAAAATTTTTTTTTGAAATTTTATCAATTATCAAATTTTTAGAAAATAAATTTTTGCAAATTATTCTGTGATATTTTTGTAGGAATAAACTTTTCATTCTTAAATTCATTCATCAAATATTTCATTTCATATTTCATTATCTTATCTTTGATAGGCTAAGTTTCATTTGAAGTATTTGTTCGGAAAAGTTAGTATCAAAAGATTGGTACCAGAAGGGAAAATGTTAGTACCAACAATTTCAGCTATCTTTATGGTATGTATGCATTTGGCTTAGAAGAATGTGAGCAATATGATGAAGCTGAGAATTATGCCAAAAAGGTAAATAGTATCCTTAACTATTTCATTGGAAATATAATTTAATTTCATTACTTAAAATTCCTATAATACTATCAAAATTAGGTTCAATTATTCTTCTCCTATCCGCTATCAATATTTCTTCGCATTATTATGCCTTAAATGTTTGCATTATTATTGCATTTGATTATATGATCTGAAATTCTTTCCGATATTCCGTTTGATATTTCCAATTTTAGGGTCTTGAATTGAATAAGTATGATGCTTGGGCTACACATGCTTTAGCACATTGTATGGAAATGAATGGACGTATCGAAGAAGGTATTCATTTTATGGAATCAACCGAAACGGATTGGAATGTGAGTTTAAATCATTCCAAGAATTTCCGTTATATCAGTCAAGTGATATCGTATGATAAAAAACTTAGCATACGACAAGTGATTATTAAGAAAAAATTTTTATCTCTTTCGTTTCGGATAACAATTGATATTTTTCGGAATAACTTGAATCAGAATCATAAGCTCTGTATCATTTTTCCGTAATTTCCATTTTTATCTCTTTCATTCCTGGTAATAATTGATAATTTTCGGAATAACTTGGATCAGAATCATAAGCTCTGTATCATTTTTCCATAATTTCCAATTTTATCTCTTTCTTTCCGGATAGCAATTGATATTTTTCGGAATAACTTGAATCAGAATCATAAGCTCTGTATCATTTTTCCGTAATTTCCATTTTTATCTCTTTCATTCCTGGTAATAATTGATAATTTTCGGAATAACTTGGATCAGAATCATAAGCTCTGTATCATTTTTCCATAATTTCCAATTTTATCTCTTTCTTTCCGGATAGCAATTGATATTTTTCGGAATAATTTGAATCAAATCATAAGTTCTATACCATTTTTCCGTAATTTCCATTTTTATCACTTTCTTCCGGATAACAATTAACATGAATCAGAATTTTCGAAATAACTTGAATCAGAATCATAAGCTCTGTACCATTTTTCCGTAATTTCCATTTTTACATCTTTTTTTTTTAAATTTTTATTTGAAAATTTCATGAAAGGAAATTTATGAAAAAGCGGAAATGTTATTATCATTTCAGGAATGTATTCCTTTTTTCCGAAATAATTATTCAGTAAGGTCAACAATTGCAACATTTCTGTTTTGTTTTCTTTAGAATTGTCAAATTTTTAAAAAACAATAATTTAAAAAAGTTTCTGAAAAAATTTTTAAATCTTTATAAACTTTTTTTTAAATTATTGTTACAGTAATTTAAATAATTCTAATTACTTTAGAAATGTTTTTTACTTGCATGTCATAATTATTGGCATATCGCACTTTACTATATCGAACTTGGGAAATATAACGAAGCATTGTTATACTACGACAGGTATTCCATATATTTGTAATTAATAATTACTTGAATTTAAATTAATTTGATTTCTGGTTTTCGAAATTTCAAATATTTCTCCTCGGTAAACTTGAAAGTATTACCTGGAAAAGTTTATTAATTGACTAGTTGTGAAAAGTTATAATCAAATTTTAAAGGATAGAATGTTTGTTTTATTGTTTCGAAATGGAATAATAAAAATTGAAACTTAAATTAATTTGATAAGCTTATTTATTATTCTAGATATAATATTACTTAATCATACTAAATTATCATCTAAAATAATTATACTCTTGCTTAATTAGCATTAAAATAGTTCTATTCGTATCTAATTAGTCTCTTAAAAATTATAGGCTCTTTTAATTACAATCAAAATGATTGCATTTATTTGATTATATTTGAAAAAATTATGACAGAGTGACAAAGCATTGAAATATCGCTATCCTTTATTTGCATAATCAATAAATTTTTATCCTAAAAAATAACTCGTTGAAGAAATATCTCAAAAGTAAAATATATTTAAGAGAGATAGGAAAACGTGTGAAAAGTGCCACAATGTTGGATATTGTTGATGCATCATCAATTCTTCTACGCTTTGAAATGGAAGGTGTATCGGTTGGTAATCGTTGGAAAGCTCTTCTACCAATTGTTAAACCACATGTAAATGGTATAATTTGATATTTTAATAATTAATTTTAGAAATTCCTAAGATATGTGTAACATTAATTATTGTAAGATAATAGCAAAATGTCCTCATCTTCAATTAATTCCACTAATTCAGACTTCTTCATTTTGGTTGAAAATTTTGAACGGTTTTTTTGAACTTTATTTTTTGTAATATTGCTTATCATATGAATTTATTTGAAAATAATCTTTGCAGAAAAAAAATGAACGATGCAATTAATTAATTTGATTTATTTAAATTCTATCATTGAATAATTTTAGATCATATATTAGCTTTTAATGATGCACACATTCGTATGGTTATTGAAGGTTGCAGTGATAGTACGATCAGAAAGAATCATTGCGACAGTATTGCAAATTATATAAAGTTTATTTTCCGTATAATTAATTAATTAATTGTAATTGTCAATTTATTTATATGAATCAAAATATCATATTGTTTAGTTCAAAATAGCTATGATACAATTTTAGCATCTTTAAAGAAAAATTGGTCGATAATTAATTGCTATCATTGTTTGAAGAAAAAGGAAGAAATTAGAATGAAGAATTGAATTGAATTCTATCACAGTAAAAAAAGCATAAAAATCAATGGATAATTGAGAAATTCAAATGAATTGCTTATTCGGGTACTGTTTACCATTCCTATTTCCATATAAATACCGTATCGTTACAGTAATAATTATGGTGATAACAACGAGCGAACACGAAATTTCGGAAAATCTATCTGTGATGCGATAACTTCTTATTATAATGGTGATTATCATGAAGTTGTTCAAACATTATCACCTATAAGGCATAATGTGTATAACATAGGTGGCAGTAATGCACAAGTAAGTTTATAACATTTATTGTATAATATATGCATATAGGGAAAACTTATTACCAATACATACTTGTAATATATGTCATTATGTACTGTTGAAGTGCCAAAAAAGTTTAGAATAATGATTTATACTATATAACATAAAACTTTTTTGCTGATGTATACTGTAATGTATACTGTTGTGTACCGTATGTGTCGGTATTACAAAAGTGAATTATATAGTAATATCACTACAGGAACTTATACTATTCAAGTTTAACGTTTTTTTTTTAGCAAAATTTACATTAAAACTTTTTTCCGGAAATAAAAATATATATGGAATAATTGCTGATAAATTACTTTAATATCTTGCATACTGTATCATCATTAATCGGAGCAATAAAATTTCGAAAATTTTGATATCTTAAATTTGAGAAACAGAAACGAAATGCTTAACAACTTTTATTTCAAGTAATTCCGTGTATCACAATAATGTTGAAGACGATTAACATAAATACAACATGAAAAGATTTTTTTTACCATTTTTCATTTTACAGTTTTGTATTTGCCATGCTTACATCAAGATTTAATACGTTAGCTATCTGTTGTATTTAATGGACTAATTTTAAATCATATATTATTATCCTATCAAATAACTAAGCAAATATTGACGTGTTTTAGCGTGACATATTTACACAATTACTTATTCACAGTGCTTTATCGTCGACTAAAGTTAGTGATTATAAACTCGGAAAGTAAGTGATCTTTATTATGTTTTATTACTGAAAAATTCTTTAATCAAAGTTCAGAATTAAATTTGTCCATCTGATGCAGTATTTTTAGTGATGATGGCTGTATACAATTTAAATTAGAACTTAGTGAATTAGAATGTCATTTGTTGAACCTTTCTTTTGCTTATTTATTTTTGATTAAATTCTTGGTGGTGTGCTGAATTTGTTAGTTAGGCATATACATGATGATATTTCAGAGTTAAAAATTCCAAACAAATTTGTTTCTTTATCCTGCCATATTTCATATGTTGATAGAATGGATATTCAGATTTAATTTTATACGATTAAAATCAGTTGAAATAGAAATAAGTCTTAAAAAAAATTTTGCATAAAATCAAGACTATAAAATATTTTTTGGAGTATTAAAATAAAAGTTAAAAAATTTTAGGATGATATTGGAAGAACGAAATATGGTAAAGAAGAATTCAAGTTTGAGTCAAAGGTTATTGAACAAGTACAGCTAGTTTAAAGGAAGTTAGAAGCAAAGATGATTCGATAATAAAATCCGGTTCTTATATTCTATAAATTCGTTTTACGGAATTATTTTGCATCACAACTTTTATCATAAAAGGGAAGTTTTTACTCATTGAAATTATACTTTAGTTATTTGATACATTTATATTAAAGTATATTTGCTCACAAAAATAAATAATTTTAAACTCGTTTTTTAACCATATATTTTTTTCTAACTTTTAAGACTTGCAATATTGTAATATAATTAAAATTTAATTAATAAGAATTAACTAAATGATCACATTAACATATTATTTTGTTATTAGACATTTCTCTTTCTCATTAAACAAATAAGATTAAAGAAATCTATGGCAGTTTAATTTGTTAAATTGCAGAACACAAAATGATCATGCCTATATTAATAATGGAAATTGATAAATCAAAGATACTTCGGAACGTTCGTTAAAAAAAATATATAATAAATTTTCTCTTCGTTGAAATTTCTTTTTTGCTCATTGAGAGATGAAAGATAGTAAAGCAAAATTGTTTTCTTTGTTTTTGTTAAATTCAACTTGTCACAAATAATATAAAAATTATCAGAATTATCAAAATCATTCCGATCGATCAATCTGATACAGCCTATTTTCATTAATCATTTGGATCATACATTTATCAAATACACTCATACATATTTACCTTTCATGATAAGTTAATAGTAGATAATTTGAATTTCCACTTAAGATACCGCTTATTAAATTTTTATTAAATTATTTTATCCAGTGCCATTTTGGTGCATAAATGCATATATCATCCGATTTGCTTTATCAGTATCCGAGTTCTTTTAATCTTACCATATTTCGATACTATATCATTTGTTATCTTTTGCATAATTATGATAAGATGCCCGAAAGATTTGGAATTTAATAAAAGAAAATAATTAGCAAATTGGTAGGTAATTACCTAAACAACTGGGAATTAAATAACTGTACCAATTAAAATTAATATTATTTGGAATTTCAATGCAAAATTTCAATGTATTTCGAAATCATATGCTTCTTGCAAAAATTAAAAAGCAATTTTTTATTTGCTCATTTGTTGAACATTTTAAAATTTCAACGGTTATCAAAGATTACAATAGAAAACAAGCAAAAACAAAAACAAAATTCAACCTGTACAAATGACTAGAAGTTATCAGCAATTAACAAGAATATATTTCATAGAACAAGAAAAATATACTGTATTATTTAATACATTAATTTGAAATTGAAGTTTTAGGTTATTACCGAACATAAACAATATACTGTATTATTCAATACAATAATTTAAAATTGAGAAGTTATTACCATTATAAAATGAAAAATTAAAAAATGAATAAATTAAATAATCGAATATCTAAACTAATGAAATTAATTTCCACTCTTTTAGGATTGAAATATTTTGTTATGCTTAAATTAAATTACTTATTTCTTTCCAATAAATCCCTAAACATTCTTATTATATTCTTCCAGAAAAAAAATTATTTTAAAAATTTAAAACAATTTTTTTAGATATTCGATTTTCGATATAAAATTTTTAATTGCAAAAAAATTTTTAGGCATAAGAAGAAATGAAACAATCGAACAGTAAAAGTAAAGAGTGAAAATAAAGTATACAATAATAAAATCAATGAAAACGAATATTCAAATATCGGTAAATTGAATTTTAAAAAGCGATAGGTATAAACAATACTTCACTAAAAATTAAAGCTTTTTATAAATTTAAATAAAATTTCAGAAATTCTTTTTTAATATGTTTCGAATGATAATTGTAAAATTTAGGAAATGAAGAAATGATAATATTTTACTTAAATAGTTATTTTCAATATGATTATAAATATGATTTGCTTTTTAATGATTTGCGTTTTATTTTCTCAAGATATCTCGAGATATCCGTTATTTCTCGAGATATCTCATAACTTTATTAATTTTTCCACCAGAATATTTCGATATTTCTTTTAATTACTTTAATGTTATTTATTGATTCGTCAACTAAACTGCAATATGATATGATATTTTCGTCATATTTCGAAATGCTAAACTTTTTCAACATATTGCAGTAAAAATTTACACATTATAAATTATTGATAATTATCAAATTTCATTTTAACTTCAATCAACAATTATCTTGATCAAATAAATGAAATCAATTTTGTTTAAATTAAAATTTACACTTCGGTTTGATTAAAATACTACAATCCAACGCTTCATTTAACTATAAATTAAAATTTTCAAAACATCGATTAAACTTATATAACACATAAAATATTATAATATAGTTTAGGAATGAAATAAATATATTATATAATATGTGTTAATATAAAATATATAATTTATAAAATTTATTTTAAAAAAATTTCAAATTTTATAAATTTCTTTGAGCCAAAAAAAATTGAAGAATTAATAAATCCTATTAATTTCGAATTCGTTTAAATATACGAATAATTAATAATTCTTTTAAACAATATGAATATAACTATATTACAGTACTACCAGTACTACCTAGAAGTTTTCGAATTTGATCCTGTTCGTCTTGCATTTCTACTGACCTGAAATTTTTTGTGTTATCGATAATCATTATTGAAAGTGGTTATTTTCAACTTTTAATTATATTTTAGTTACTAAATTCCGAAGATTGAAATCTTGCTATTAAGACTTAATCAACAAGAAAATTGAGTTATTTTAAATTATTATTTGAATTGCTTATTGGAATTCAGTGAAGGGAAATAATGAGAGTATGTAAAAATATCCGGTTAGAAGTTACTCTTAAAATAGATTCAAAATATTACCGGAAATTTATTTTGCTTATAATACATGATATTGTTTATTTACCTATACGTTTTGTAATTTCGTTTTAATTTGATCAATTGAAATTATCAATAAATGATGAAAGCGATAAGTGATAATTAAGTTTACATTTACTTTTTAAATATATGTTGGTAGTATCATTTTAATTTGTCTATCCAAAAACTTCACAATAATCGAAACTATGCTACACCTTTTAGATTTTATGAAAGAAATTTTATTTATCAACGATCAAAATCAAAATCATTCAAAACAAAGTTAACCGGATCGACTAGAAAAATTATCGTCATAATCGGATGAAAATCATTTATCAACTTACCTTGTAACTAGCTTACTTGTATAATTGAAGTGATGTATCAAGTAACTAACTTGTATGATGGAGGTGGTGTACCATGCCTATTATTGTTATGATGAAATGATTCAGGTTGATGATGCACTGTGGTATTTCGATAAGGAGCGCATTTATCATAAATTGTTGAAATCAATGGTCGTTGATAATCCGAACTCTGCAATCACATCAAATATCATAATAATTGTTTTACAATAATTAATTACACTAATTAGATATATTCAGTTTAGATTTTAAAAAAAATTTAGCCTAAAATTCCCACAAAAATTTTTTACAACGATTTTAAGTTATTTATGTAAAGAAAAGAAAAGACATTTAATTTTGTAAAAACTTCCCAAAATCTCTTCTGCTATCTTTTCGCGATAATTACATCTTAAGTGAAAATAATTTCCACGGAATGTTTTAAAGTAGCAAAATTTCGAAATGAACAATTAGCTTTAAACAGTTGTTGAATCTTATCAGTTGTTAAATTTCATAAATATTTATGAGGGAAGCTAGAAAGTAAATGAGAATTGCTATCATCATCGTATAGAGACTTGTTTAGTGAAATAGCAAATGCTAAAGTTGCTAATGTCATGTTTTGCCAAGAGGAAAATATCATCATCATCATACACTAAACTATGCTTTAGCTTAACGAAACCACATCCTATCATCGATTTTTCCGCTATCATAAAGAACAATATTTTTATGGCTAAGGATGGAAATGATAATATTTGATTAGTTTTATTGACATTATAATATAGTAAAATATCAAGCCAAAAAAAAAAAGCAAAACAAAACTTGATAAATCAATAAATTTAATTACTAATTAATGCTAAAGAAATTTTTTGGTAGTTAATTTTAAATTAGAAAACAATAAAAATATTTCATTAATATTTTGTTGAATTTTTGTTCCAAAAATTTTGAATTAAAATTTTGTTAAATTCTTTTCTTTTTTGATACCAAAAATTTCGCAACAAAACTTTATCTTTTTATCTTTTTCTCTCTCTCTCTCTCTTTCTTTTTTATTAATTATCATTAAATGAAGTTTTACCCTTATCCTTTTATCTTTTTCTCTCTCTCTCTCTCTTTCTTTCTGTTTTATTAAGTGAAGCTAACCTTAAGAAGAGCATTTTGTCGAGATTCATGAGCTTGAACAAGTTCTAAACAACGATTTAACGCATTCTGATCCAATGGTAAATCCATACTATCATTTCTACGACATGACATAAATGGTCCAAAACAATCACAAAAACCACATCGCATTATCTATGAAAAATTATTGCAACATTTCTATTTTTAATCGAGAAATGATTTATCATAAAATTTCTTTGCGAATACTGTAATTTAAAATAATTTAAAATAATCTTTACGAATACTGTAATTTAAAATAATTCAAAATTTAGCTAATTTTATGATTGAATTGTTTCAAATTTTAAGATTAGTTCATTTTAATAAAATGGGTAAATTTGATTTCGAAAAAATACTACAAGAAATATTTAATGAGAAATTTTTTAATCTTTTCATTCTTAATAAATTTGAAAACAGAATACTGAAAAAGTAGCGATATCTTTGAAGCGTTTATCGATAGGAAAAATTCAATTATTTGGAAAATATTCTTGAAATTAGAGGAAATAATAAAAGGTCAAAGGATAATTAAAACGAAGGTGAACTAACAAAGTTATTGCTATTGAAGTTATTGTATTGAAGTTATTGAAGTTATTGTATTAATGGAATTCCGGGTGTTAGCATCCTCGGAGAAAACTAGACAATAGTGATAGCGAATATTTAGCATTCCTAATAATACCTCGAAGAAAGTTAGACTATAGTGATAACGAATATTTAGCGCTCCATGTATTAATGGAATCTCGGGAGAGGGGGATTAGGTAATGATAACAAGTCAAAGGCTAACGAAGTTATTATTCCATGGATTAACGGAATCCCGGGGATTAGCATCAGAAAATTAGACTATAATGATATCGAATAATATCTCGGAGAAAGTTAGACTATAGTGATAACGAATATTTTATTGTTAAGAAAATAATTCTTCTAATTATTACTTTTAGGAAAAGAAAAATGAATGATTAAATATTTATGAAAAAAAATTTGCATATTTTACTTATCATTTATATAAAAATTCTTTCATATCAAAAATCATTTCATCAATTAGCTAATTTAAATTATAATAGCAATTAAAAATTTCGAAATGATAAAAGTTTTGAAATTAATTGCAATTAGGTAAAGAGGAGGATAGAGGCAGGTGTTCTGGAATTTATCATAGAGAGATTTCGAAAGGATGCGAAATTCCTTCATCGATATTGCTTAGGACATAGCTCATTGCGAGTTGTTAAGTTTGTAGTGAGACTAAGCTTTAGCCTTTATCAGTGTAGTAACGCCTACTTTTTAGATAACTAAATTACACTCATTCACATACACACACACGCACACACGTACATACATATATATAGGTATGCGTAAGTATAATTATAGCCTATTTTTTAGATAACTAAATTACACTCATTCATATACACACACGCACATGCACACACATATATATATAGGTATGCGTAAGTATACTTCTAGCCTACTTTATAGATAACTAAATTACATTCATTCACATACACACACACGCACATGCACACACATATATAAGTATGCATAAGTATACTTCCAGCCTATTTTTTAGATAACTAAATTACTATAACTAACTCGCACACACACACACACATACGCACGCAGACACATGCACACATATGTAAGTATGTTATCTACAAAGTAGGCTAGAAGTACATATATATAAGTATGCCTAAATATACTTATATGTATCTGGTTCATACGCAAATGAATCACACATATTTAATGTTACTTATAGTTCATATCATATAAATAAATAAATAAATATCTATATTAAAAGTTTTATTATGCAAATATATATTTATATTATAATTATAATTACATAAATATATCTATTACAAATAAATATTATATCATATAATTAAATTATGGACATATTATATATTTAATATTCATATATGTATAAAATATGCTTTACATATGCATCTATTATATTATTCAAATATTATTATAAATATGTATATATGAAAAGGAATGAAATTAAATGACGACGAAGGCTTAAGAAGTAAAATCGATTTTTAAAATTGCCTTTATTCTTCGAATTCAGGCTGCAAAGGGAAGCAGAAGGAAAAAGAAAACAGCTGCAGATTGCTTGCCTTCTTAATAGACTCCCATCTTAGTTTATATACTTTCTATATATATATAAACTTTTGAATGTTTTTGTATTCAAAAGTAATATATTCGAATTTCTCTCATATATTCCTCAAATCGTTTTCCCGAGATATCACAGAATAAATTAATATTTTGTTTATAATTATATCATTTACCTTTTGCATTTTTCGTTAATTAAATTAAAGTCATCAATTATACAGGTAAAATATTATTAATACCTGAAAAATTTATTGATCATATAAGTTAGCCTAAAATAGGATCAATTAGAAATCGATTTTTTTGTGATCGAAAAAATTGCTTACCATAATTAAAAAAATACCAAATATCATAATTAGCATAATTGATGAAATTGTATTGAAAAAGCTTTGATTGGTACTTTGCACATTTTCTAGCGCTTCAAATTCACACGATAAGCCAATGTATCGTAAAGGACATCTGTAAAATTTTAAACAAAATTTTAATTTTTCTTTTTTCTTGTAAAGCCAATTAAAGTAATCCTAAAATTTATCCTAAAATTGAATAGAATTTAAAATATTTAAAATCCTTTTTTTTTTCTTTAGAAAATAGCTAAAGGAAGATAAGATTATATTATTTGAAAATAAAAATAAGAGTTAATTTTAGGATTAATTTTAGGATTACCTTAATTAAGAAATAAAAATTTCAGTAGCTTGGAAAAAAAGAAAAAGGTCAACTTAAGTTTATAATCTTAACTATTCATCTTCCCATTTCATAATTACTTTAATTAAGAAATAAAAATTCCATTCTTTTAAATTTTATTCAAATTTGCTAAAAACAGGAAAAAGTCAACTTAAGTTTGTAATCATAACTGTTCTTCATATGAATATAAACTATAAAATATTAAATTATAAAAAAAATTTTTTTCTTCACAATTTTTTACTTAATTATTTATTTATTTTATTTTGTTTATTTCTTATTTCTTAATGTAAATAATATTAATTTATCAAATTTATAATAAAATAACAATTTATGTCAATTTTTACTTAATTATTTATTTATTTATTTTTTTTTATTTTTAATATAAATAATATTATTTATTAATTTTATAATAAAAAATAACATTTATATTAGAAAGAAAACAAAAAAAAGGAAATTTCAGAATTTAATACAATCATTTGGCGCTGCCGTCAGTAATAAATTTTCATTAAAATAAATAAACGAAAAAAAGAAAGGAAACAAAGCTGTCATTTAGTAAAGGAAATAAAGTGCAAAGGAAATTGTGGATATTTTTGATTGATTGTTTAATAAACAAATTTTCCGTATTGCTTTTTAATGTAAAATAACATTTTGAAAAAATTCATTAAAAAGTTTTTTGTTTACTTATTTATTTGTTTTACTTTTTTGTTTACTTAATTATTCATTTGTTTTAATTTGTTCTTTTTTATTTTTTTTAATGTAAACAAATTTTATTTGACCTAATTTCATATCAAAATAAAAACACTAAAAAAGGAATGAATATTTTTAAAAAAAGGAATTAATTTATAAAATTATACTAAAAATAATTAAATGGGAAAAAAATTATTTTAATTACTAATTTAATTTAAAACAAATTTCAATCCATAAAAAAAAACAAAAAACAAATTATCCGACAAATAAAGACAAATTTCAATCTAAGAGATAACATTTCCTATGAACACAAACATTTTTGCATTTTTCTAAGAGATCGGTTTGGTTGCAAATAATATCTCTTAATTTATTAAATATATAAAATAAGCTCAAAAATTATAAGTTATAGTTAATAAGCCGAAAAATTGAAAAACTGTTTATAAAGATGTATTATAATTATAAACATATTATTACTACTAAAACATATTATTACTACTATTATAAACATATTATTACTACTAAAATTATTCTTCTTATTTTCAAAAACTTTTACTGTACACTTTCAGTCTTTAGTTACTGGTTTATTATTGCAAGGGTCAGGAAAAGGTTATTTCGCTTACACTCTTTAGCAACAGAGGTCAGAAAAAGGTTATTTTATCATCGAAATGCAAAATTGTCTTTTGAATGGAAATTTGTTTTAAATTAAATTGGCAGTTTGGTAATTTCTGATAATAGTGATAAGTGAAATTTCAAAATTTCATAAATTTTTCCAATAAATATTTGTAAGCAAAAAAATGGCGTAATTTGTTTATGAATTTATAAACAGACAATTTGATATGTTGCAATATATAAAATATATCACCTGCATTTCACTTCACCTTTACTTTTCTCGAACAATTCCTCATCTTGAATATCAGAAAATGTTAAATTAAATAAATCACAAGCGCCTAATTCCAGTTTTGTTGGTATATGTAAAGCTGATAATGAATTAATCATTGATAAATTAAGCTCGGAACCTGCAAAAAAAAAAAAAACTGATTGATCAAAAAAAAATTAAGTTAATTAAAAAAATTAAAAAATTAAAAATTTTCACTTCATTAAATAATTAAGCAAATATGAAATTATTATAAATAAGAAATCAATAATTAGAAATAATTAGAAATCAATAATTTAAAATAATTAGAAATCAATAATTAGCAAATAAACAATCAATAATTTGAAATATTAACCTAAAATAAATTGATAATATTAATTAGTAAAATTGTTATTCGAAGTTATAAGGAAATTATAATTAAATTCAAAAATTGATAATAATAATTTTAAAATAACTAATGGAAAAAAAAGAAAAACATTATCGCTAAATAAGTTAAAAACTTTATTTATATAAATATTACTTATGATTATTTAATAAATCATATTAATTGCATTATTAATTACGGAAAGTAATTATAGTTAATGCTATTTATTAAATAAAGATATTCAACTAACAAAAATTATATCATATCTAATCTATAAGTAACCGGATAAGTAAATAATGAAACAAACCGGATATATCAACGGCAATCCAATCAGTTGGATCAATGATATGTGTTGATTTGTATTTTTCACTGAGATTTGATTGGGAATGAAGATCGATAAATGGTATACCACCATTACAACAAAGGATAAGAAGATGTTTAGCGGTTAGTAATGTTAAATTCATCTGCAAAAAAAAAGAAAAAAAACCAAATTCTTTTCCTATTTAATACCAATTAATTAATTAATTAATTAATGTTGAAATTAATTATTTGATTAATCAAATTTCAGTTATCAATTCGATTTTCAATTACAATTAACATATATTACAAAACACATTTAAAATGTTGCAAATGAAATGATTAAACATATCGTAAACAATTTCATTTTTCAAAACTAACAAATATTATTGCTTATTTTAATAGAATAATGAATTGTTTAAAATTAAAAAAATCTCTGAAACATATAATTAAAAGAAATAATTAGAAATCAATAATTAGCAAATAAAAAATCAATAATTTGAAATATTATTAAACTTAAAAAGAACATATTACATTTAATAATAATGCAATCGAATTTTGGTATTGAATGAGAGCAAAATAAAATTTGCAAATGATTAAATTATATACTAATTAATATCAAATAGTTATTTAATATTAAATTTTAAACTTAGAAAATTTATTTAAAAATTAAAATTAATAGGAAATACAAAGGGAAATCGAAAAGGAATTAATTCATTTCGAATTTTGGTATTTATTACTAAATTTTAAACTTAGAAAAAAAATTAAAAATTAAAATCCAAAAATTAAAATTAATAGAAAATACAAAAGGAAATCGAAAAGGAATTAATTCATTTCGAATTTTGGTATTTATTACTAAATTTTAAACTTAGAAAAATTATTTAAAAATTAAAATTAATAGGAAATACAAAAGGAAAACGAAAAAAGAATTAAATCATTTTGATAAAGCAAATTAGAAATATTAAACGATGCTATTATGTATTTCATTTTCAATTATTTAACGTGCAAAAATCAATTCTTGCAAGCCTAAAAAATTAGGAAAATTGAAATGGCTATTTGACTTATGTAAACTTTTATTTATTCCATCAATGAAACATATTATTTCCCATTGGAAAAAGCTTGAAATATTTTCTAACAGATGAAATTAACCGATGGGAAATTTTATTCGAAAATAATTTTTAGCAAACAAACATATGCGATGCAAATAACAATAATAATGCATTTGTAAGCTCTAAGTTTTTCATTGATTGAAATAATAATTAATGAAGTATAATTAATTATTTATTTCACAAATTAATTATTTATATTTATTTCAAAATAAATTTTTAGTTCAAAATTTATTAAAATTGATAAATTAATAAAATTTGTTTCAAAATAATTTTTAACAACGAAACATCTGCGATGCAAATAATAATAATAATAATAATAATAATAATAATAACAATAATAATGGATTTGTAGCTCTAAGCTTTTCATTAATTAAAATAATAATTAACTAAGCAAAATTAATTATTCATATATATAACATTTATATGAAAATATTCTTGTGGAATGAAAAAATAATACAAAAAAAAAGAATATGCAAATTTCGATTAGCTAAAAGAAGTAAAATTTTTTTGCAAAGCAAATTTTTGCTATATATGAGAAATTTAAATAATTTTTTTTTGCATTATTCAATTACTAAATTCATTATTCAATTACCAAATTCACTATTCAAATACTAAATTCATTATTCAATTATTAAATTCAATTACTTTGTATTATCTTTCGATTAAATAATTTTAATTTGGTTTATTTCATATTGAAATATATCGAATTAATCGAACAAAATTTCTTTTGTCTATTAATTATATAAATTTCAATTATCTTTCAATTAAGTAATTTTAATTTTATTTATTTTAAATTAAGGTATATTCGAATTAATCGAACAAAAATTTCTTTTGCCTATTACATTCGATTTTGTTCTATTAGCATTAATAATTAGCAAAATTGTTTTTTGCAATATTTCGAAATCTCCCAACTGGAAATTACTAATGGCTAAAATGATAATATCTAAATCTAAATGATAATATTTCTAAATCTGATAATTAAAATGATAATATTTCTAAATCTCTCTTCTATTGGAAATTACTAATGGCTGAAATGATAGCATCAAATGATATATGATGATATTATCATACATATATATATATATATATATGTTCTATTAACATTAATAATTAACAACATTGTTTTTTGCAATATTTCTAAATCTCCCAACTGGAAATTACTAATGGCTAAAATGATAATATCAAAATGATATATGATGATTTTATCATACATACATATATGTTTTAAAGCATTTGACGTAATAGTAATTTATCATACATGTAATTGCAATACTAATAGCTTAATTTAAAATTTCAATCTATTTTTCCTAACTTTTTTTTTAAAAGTGACTTTTTGAAGAAATATTGCAAAAAGCATTATTGAAATAATTTTTGGTAGAAAATTTGTATGAAAGCTTTTAAGAAATGGTTAGAAGATGATAACATACATCAAAATAATTATGCAAATTTATGAGGGAAATGAAGAGAGAGAGAGAGAGAGAGAGAGAGAGAAAAGAAAGAAAATATATTTTTAGTAATTTCATTCATTTTTTTTTTAATGAGAAAAATTTTCAATGAAAGAGAGAGAAGGGAGAGAGAGGGAAAAAGAAATTGATGAAAGTTGATTGTTGATAATTTTCATCGTTTAGAATTTATGAAATCCTTAGAGATTATTATTTTTTAACTAAATAATCGAAATGGACAAAAACAAAAAGGAAAAGATGGAAACGAAAAAGTATTTCAAATAATATTTTATTTTTTTAAAATTTAGTTTGAAAAAAAATTTTTTTACAAAACTATAATTTATAATTGTATTAATTAAATGAGTTTTAGAATTATTAATGAAGATGAAAAGTAAAATAAATAATGTTTGTTAATTTTGATGAATGAAATAAATTGATTGGAAGTATAAATGAATCAGAAAGAAATTTATGATATGATAATTTCATTGTGATATGATAATTTCATTGTGATATGATAATTTCATTGTGATATGATAATTTCATTGTGGCATGATAATTTGATTGTGACATGATAATTTCATTGTGATATGATAATTTTATTGTGGCATGATAATTTGATTGTGATATGATAATTTCATTGTGACATGATAATTTGATTGTGATATGATAATTTCATTGTGGCATGATAATTTTATTGTGATATGGTAATTTCATTGATTTCGTTCCAAAATTTTTAAATTAAATAATTAATGAAAGTTAAATTTTAATATACCATAGATTGGTTAAATAATTATAATTTAAAAAAGTAAGATATCTATCTATATGTAGCATAAAGAAATTTATGAGCGATATGATAATTTTATATTATGATATGATAACTTGATTAATTTATTCAAAAATTATTAAATTAAATAGTTAATGAGATTTAAATTTTAATAAATAGATAATAATTATAATTAAAGAAAAGTTATACATCTACCAGTTCCATTATTAAATACACTTTAAATATTTTACAACTATGTTATAGTTATAAAGTTTAAAAGGTTGCTAGAATAAGTTGAAATGTAAAAGTTGGAAATTTGAAATAAGCATTAGAAAAGCATTTGCATTAAACGATTGAAATAAGCAAATTGCTTTAAATGAATTAAACGAAATAATTTCATCTTTTTTTCAACATTTTTTCCAACATTCTATAATATCTATTGCACTATAAAGTTAGGAATTATCTACTACACTGATAAAGTTAAGAATTATCTATTACATTGATAAAATTTGGGAATTATTTGTTACATTGCTTAAGTTAGGAATTATCTAATACATTGATAAATTTTGGGAATTATCTGTTACATTGCTAAAGTTAGGAATTATCTATTACAGTGATAAAGTTAGGAATTATGTAATACATTGATAAAATTAGAAATTATCGATCACATTGATAAAGTTATAAATGATCTATTACACTGATAAAGTTAGGAATTATCTAGTACATTAATGAACTTAGAAATGATCTATTACACTGATAAAGTTGGAAATTTCGATATTATCTATTACATTGATAAAATTAGGAATTATCGATCACACTGATAAAGCTAAAAGTGTTAACTTCATTTTAACCTGATAATCTTATCACTTCCTAATAACCTACAAAAATTAAATATTACTTTTCAATAATAAACCAATCAAATCGAAAGATAAATTCAAAAGGTTAAATTATATATTTTTTTTTAATTTTGAAATCAAAATTAATTGAAAAAAAAGTATAGCAAATGTTTGTGAAAGAAAAATTAATTGAAATGAGGAAAAAATTAAAAGTTTTTAATATCATCAAAAATATATCAGAATTATTTAAAACAAAAGTTTAATTTATAAAAAAAAAAAACTGCAATTGAAGGATCATTGAATTGGAAGAATGTAATTATCTATTAGGGAAAAGAGAAGAGAAGAAGAAAATTAGAAATGGGAAAATGATGAAGGAGAAAGGTTTGAAATATGTTGTGAGGAGTGTAGAGAGGATGAAATAGAAATGAAATGAAGTTTAATGAAAGTAAACTGAAGCTAAATGAGATATCACCGATATGGGAGGAATAGTAGGGAAGGATAGGAGGAAGAGGATGAAAAAGCTCTAAAATTTTCATAGTTTAATGATGATCATTAAAATGATGAATGATACAAGTATTAGAAATTAAAAATGATAATTAAAGTGATAAATGATAAGTGATAATTTTGAGTTAGCTGTTTTTCCTCTTTTTTAACTTTTCAACATTAAATTATATATTTCATTTCTTTATTTTCGATTATGTGAATATATATATATATCTTTTGGTAGATTTTTATTTTCATTAAAAAATAATTAATTAACAAAAAAAATAATTATTGAATATTAAATTTGAATAATTATTAGATGTTAAATTTGAATAATTATTAGATATTAAATTATAATATATTTTTATATTAATGGTAGCGGTGGAAATTTTGATATTTAAAACAAAAATTAATTGTAATAATTGAATTGAGTGAAAATGAAATTATTGGATGACAAAAAAGGAAATTGAACTATCATTCTTTATGATATAAAGATAAGTTTAGAATGATTAGGAAAATTTTAGCCTAAGAAAT